TTTTGTCTAAGCTTCGTTCTTCGGGGTTGATAAATGTTGTGACAATTCATGAATCTCATATCCCGGTTAATTATATTAAAGCTTTCTACTCCGATATGACTTTCAAGCGTAGAAATCATCAATATGTGATTATTTCTAAGTTTTGTGGTAAAGAGGTTACTATTTCTAGTGGTGAATTGAATGAGATGTTTGGCATGGAGAATAGTAACAAGGAGCTCACTACCCAAAATAATGATCAAAACCCGTGGTATAATTTCGATGAACAAAAGTGTTGGGAAGTGATGAATTTTCGACCCAAATTCAATGAATCTGGACGGCCCAAGGTGAATAGAATGCAACCTCCTCAATGCCTCATTCAATATATTTCCTCCTATATCCCGCGTGGGCGCTCGGGCAATCACCCTCAAATGAGCAAAGACGATGCCATGCTTATCTATGCAATCTTGAAGCCGGTGTCTATCAATTGGGGGAAGTACATCTTGACATACATGAACTTGTGCCGGGCAAAAAAAAAATCTCTACCGTACCCCATGCTTCTCACCTATCTTTTGAAAAGGAAGGGATTTGAATTTGTGCATGCCGAGATGGATAGTGAAACTCCTTTTTGGAGGATCAAGAGGTCAACAGTAATGAGAACCAAGCTTGATGGTGAATATGAAGCACGTGCATAAACCGGAACTTCTCAGTCACGTGTGGCTTCCTGGGGTCACAAGGTCACATTGCCTATGCTTTTTGAGTCCCTGCAAAGCCTCCAATCCTCCTTCAACAACATCCAGCTCCAACAGGCCACTTACGGCTATAACTTGAATAAGATGTTGGTCAAGAGTGGCGAGCAATGGGAAACACCATCCTTGGAAGCGCTCGCACCTTACATGTCTCAGGGTTCTTCTTCTCATACCGCTCCATCTGATGCTGATAATGATGAAGACGATGAGGCTGATGAAGAGGAGGATGATATTGCACAAGAAGAAGCGACCATGGATGAGGAATGAGTGGTTGGGACTCCGTTTTTGTTCTTATTGACTCTTTCATTCCTTTATGCTTTCCATTCTCTCTTTTTGCACTTATCCTTAGCTTAACCCTTGTGTTTGTAATTTTGACTATGCTATCCTATGTGTTTCTCTTTCCTTTTTGCTTATGACAAAAGGGGGAAATGTGAATGTGTTGCTATTTGCTTGTGCTTGATAGGTGGCACACAACAGGGGGAAGTAGTTGTATGACTTGTTTTTTGGTTTTGTTATTGTTTTGGCTTGCTATTGTTTTGGTTATTGCCTCTGAGACAGGACTTTGCATTTTTGACAAACACAAGCTCAAGCAATTCTTTGATTGGGTTTGTCATTATCAAAAAGGGGGAATTTGTTGACCCTTGTGTTTTGATAATGACAACCTTATATGTGGGATAAGCTTTGGATCTTTGAATCAAGTCACCTGGATCATTTCGTAGGGATTATCTTGCAAGTCGGCTTACGAGCTCCAAGACAAGAATTGGCTTACGAGCTCCAAGACTAGAATTGGTGTTAAAAAGGTTTTTAGATCTTTTACATTTTTTAAGTCTTAGTTCTTGTTAAAGTGTGTGGCACATGTTTATTCTTCAAAATTCTCTATTTCTCTTATAAGAATTCCTTCTTTATTGTTATTTAAAATGTTTTTTTTAAAACTATGTTTTCCCAGGCTTTTGTTCGAATAAATGATGATTTATTCGAATAAGAGGGACCTCTGCAGATTGCAGCTCGGTCTGTTTTAATCGAACAAATGCTTATTTTATTCGAATAAGTGCTGATTCCATTTTTTCCAGCCTTTTGAAAACTATTCGAATAAATGGTTATTTATTCGAATAAGTAGCTTCCCAGAATTTCAGTTCACCCTGGTTTATTCGAATAAATCTTAGATTTATTCGAATAAGAACTGTGTTTTCTAAATTCCTATTTTATCAAAACTATTCGGATAAATCTGATTTTATTCGAATAAGTCGTCAGTTTGAACTGCAAATTTGTCGGTTTTTAAGGAAGTTATTCATCCCTATCTTCCATAACTCACATACAACGGCTCTTTTGCTTGGAGAACAATATTTATATTCATTCAAACATATTCTTCAAAAAAAATCCAAGCAATTCAATTCATACTTTTAATCCTTCAACATTACTTCCAAGCAATTCTTCAAGAAATCAATATTTGCTTGAGTTTTGAAGAGTACTAGTGTGCCATACTCTATAAGTTCTTGTATTCTACAGCAATCCACCCTTAATTTGAAGAGTATTTCCGCTGTGCACTTTGTTTTTAAACAGTGTGTGAATTGTGAAAACTTGAAGTTGATATAATTCAAGTTTTGGAGAGAAATCCTGAGTCTTGTGAAATCAAGACTACGGTGGAAAGGTTAGAGGCTTGCGAATTCAAGTTCTCGAGTTGTAATCGGATTGTCAAACTCCGTTAAGTTTGACGAAGTTAGTGGAATCTCGGGCACGTTTGCTTCGGGGACTGGATGTAGGCATTAGGCCGAACCAGGATACATCGTGTGTTGCTCCTTCACTTCATCTTTGTGTTCTTGTGGTTGATATACTCCTGCGAATTTTTGTTCTTCCAAAAGTTCTTGATTTTTGAAGAACACCTCTATTCACCTCCCCCTCTAGAGATGCGTAAGTTGTTCAACAAGATAGATCCAGAACCTCATGATCATGCTTTGATGGCTTGTCAACCACATGTTTCTCATCAAAAATAACATCTATTGACTCTTCAGTGATCATGGTTCTTTTGTTGAAAACTCTGAATGCCTTGCTCACCATAGAATATCCAAGGAAGATGGCTTCATCTGATTTCTCATCAAAAGTGTTCAGATGATTCTTCCCGTTGTTTAACACAAAGCACTTGCTCCCAAAAATATGGAAATATGATATATTAGGCTTTCTCCCGTTCCA